TCTCATCAGAAAGCCTCTTGCATATAACAACACCTTTGCTAATTTCATTTATTTACAATGGGACAAGACTGAGACGGGGCAAGATTTATTACTATGACATCACTGATGTTCAGTAATTCATAAAACACTGGGTCTAGGAGTTAACACTGCTGTTATTTCCTCTGATGCCTGACCTCACCACAGTCTAATAACGTACAGGAAATCCAGAAGACAAAGGGGGAAAGCAGTGGTCTTGATTGCTAAAAATAACCATAGAAAACTAGCACAATCGTCTAATAAAGTATGGCCCCATAATTTATTTAACATAGTAGTGGAATCTGCTAAAGCAATTGGAATCTATTATTCCTGTTCTAAATTTATTATGGAAAATAAGGAGACTGGGGAGGGAATCACTTAAAGAACTGAGACTTTTAAATTGTATAGTTCAATTGTATGTATCGGTTTTAGGAGTGTGTTTCTTATTGCTTACATATGCTGTCTACTTAATAGCTCAGCTAGAACAGACAATCATTGTATAGCACTTATGTTTCCAGAGGTCATCCTGTTTGGCCAGACAGTGATGTAGGTGATATATTACACTTGACACCCCAGAATGTTGCTATACAAAGGGATTCTAATTCTCAGTGTCCCTGAGAATTGTTCAATATTCTTGATGGTATCTAATGTCTGGTATGCCACTGAGATGGGATTTTTTGGTGTCTTTACTAATCAATCAAGGTTAACATGACATTCATGTTGTGCATTTTTTCTGATTACGCTACTTTTGCTAGGTCATCTTGTACAGAGAAAATAGTATAATGAAATTCTTTGGGGTTTCTATGGTCATTTCATTTATTTAAAACAAGTTCTTCTTCTTGTATTTAATACAGTCTAATACAGTCAGGATTTAGGCAGAGTTATAGAACAGCTAGAATGAGGGACGTTTGCATACTGACCCTACAACTATTCTCAGAAAGACACTCAAACCAGTCTGCCAACTAAAGCTTGTCAAATATTGCAAAAACAAATGTTCACAAACATTTATTCTTATTTCAAACAATTGTTCAGTTTGATCATGCTTGTATCCCTCTTTATTCACTTATGTTGCACAGAGATTTAGGGAGTGTCTGTTCTTCCTAAGAACATCAGTATTACCATGCAAACAAAGATATTTATGCGTGAACAAGAGTATTTGGTAATTGACATTGACAAACTGTTTTAACAGCTTTTTCATCCAATCAGGGAACAGAAGCATACTGTGTGACTTAGATGACCAATCACAAACCAGAAATAATGAATAGCAAATAAGTAAAGGCAACTGTTTGTGAACAGCCCATTTGAATTGCATGTATTTAATCATAATTTGCATTTTTATATATAAGCAACGTTCTTCTGCAGATCTTAAATCCTTTATAACTATTAAATCATTCAGACTCAAAACAACCCTGGGTACTAGAGGAGTGTTTTGAGGCTAACCAGGTGAATCTGAGCCACTGAGAAATTAAAGTCAAACTTTTCAAAATTGGGTCTCTAAAGTTCAGCTCTAAGTAAAGGTGGCCTGATTTTTAGAGGTCCTGAACAACCACAGTTCCCATTTAAATCAACAGGGCCTAAAAATTGGGGCCTGAATTATGATTGGGATTTTCAAAGGAGCCTAATGGAGTTAGTTGCCCAAATTCTACCAAAGCCTAAGAACCAGATTTTCAAAGCTATTTAGCCACTTAAAGATGCAGATAGGTGTCTAGTGGGATTTTCAAAAGTACCTAAGCAGGTTAGGCACCTAACACCTGTTTAAGTTAATGGGAGTTACTAAGCTCTTACCTGCATTGTTAGAGACCTAAATAACTTTGAAAATTTGACCCTAAGGACCTAACTGTATGAACCCACTTTAGAAAAGTTTGGCCTAAGTGACATACTCAAAATTTGTGGCAAAACCAGGAATAGAAGCCCAGGGCCCAATCCTGACTCAGCTTAAGTCAATGGGAAAATATAAGTGCAACTAAGCTTTGCACCTTCTGTCTCTCAGGCTTTACCTCCAGGATTATCCTTCTTCCCTCTTTTACATTAGGGTTGACTTGAATTACATGGGAGCATCTATAGGAAACCAAACCTAAAGACTTTTATAATTCACATAGCGAATAAATGAAACTATTGTATATTCAGTATATTGGGGCCAGAATTTCATGTACACTAAGGATATGAAGGGGCCTTAAAGCGGGGATACATTACATTTCCCTCCATTTTTAGGTTTCTTTGCTCAGGCTGAGCATAGCCAAGGGAGCGGCCTTAGTGTAAATGAGAATCAGGTCCATAGGTCATTTTGTTACAATAACCTTTCTTTGAAATCTATCTGATTTTTATTTGCCCTTGTACAAAATTTCATCTTGCTACCAGCTTGCTTTTTCATGAATGCCAGTCTTTGATTATATAATAGACTTCAAACAATTTTGAAACAGTGAGCAGTTTGTGAGCCCACTATGTACTTCTTGCTATTTATGGATAGGGGATTTGCTGATTCACTAAGATGTGATGCTTTGCATTCAAATTATAAAGCCCAGAAGGTTTCCAAATTATATGTTCAAGCACTTTTCCAAGGGCAAATAGTTTGCATACTGTCTCGCTAAAAACTTCTCGTCTTTATTTATTATTTGAACTGAGTTTCCATTTTGGATCTATGTCCAGCACTTTTGAAAATGATCAAGTGCACATTTTTATAGAAACTTTAAGCACTACATTTTGCCCTCAGATTCATGCGTGGAGATCCCAATCTCCTACTGATGAGCTCCTCTGAGAGCAGAATTCGGACCTAAATGCCACAAAGTACAGAAACACATAACCAAATGCTTGTTTCTAATCAGATTCCTTCTTTATTGCTTCTTACTCTTATTTCTGGGTGTGTGCAAGATCTTCTTAAAAATTTTACTCTGTTTACTGCTTGTTTGTATTCTAAGGGGTGAAGTTTTACTGTGACTTCTGCACTGAAATGTATTTGGGCAAGTTGCCCTACTTGTAATAGATTATGCTTCCAGGGGAGCATGCTTCCAGAAGCCTTCAAACTAACCATGATATATTTATGGGTCACCTAACAATTATACATGTATTATTATTATTTCTTGCTGATAGACTTGGGAACTTAATTAACATATTTACATAGTATTTAAACTCAAATATTGAAACACTGTGGGATTTCTCTATTTTTCCTTTTATTTAGAAGGGGTTATTGCCCAAAAGCCAAGAGCTTTGAATGATATGAATATATCACAAGAGATATGAATATATCATGCGTATATTCTGTTGGCCAGATTTTCCACTCCGCTATGCCAGTCATAAACCATTTTTAATTGAAGTTGTCATCAAACTGCTACAATGGAGTCTAAAATCAGGGCCTTCATCTATCGAATAATTCTCGACATGTGTTTCTTATTTGTCTCATAATGGCACACTGGATTACCTTGGGATGATATTAAAACTGTCATGACAGTAACTTGTAACATTATCAAGTATCCATTGGGGTACAGGTTGAGCAATTATCTTCATTAATGAAAGAATTCCAAGGAAATATATATTGATAATAACATTTTTATTAAAAATGGCTTATAGCATTAGTGCCATTTTCTATTACTATTGTCCAGCGCTAATAATGTCATCTGCTTATTCCTTTCATTTATTATGCAAGAACTAGATTTGGGGTGTGCAGCTAAAGTTCAGATCAAGTTTTCATTTTTTGTAAGTTAATATGCTACAATTAATGATTTGAGGGAGCAAAGTCAGGAAATAGAGTCAGAGTGGTGGAATGAAGATCATAGTTTGAAGACTAAACAAAAAAGGAGAGGTTGAAGGAGAAGAGAGAGATGCCATGATGCAGATCAGAGAGGATCCTCAGGCACAGGGAGATAGCATAAGAGAAAGCATAGAGTCCTTACAGGAGGTGACTAGGTACATGACAAAGTATGAATGAAGGGAATGAGAAAAGGAAGATGAGAGAAAATATGGAGGCAGGTTGTTAAGATATTGGAAGAAAAATATCATGTGCCTTAGTTGCTTTAAACTACTAATATTGTGTTAGGCCTAAAATATGGGACTGTTTCTTTTTATGCATCTGTACAGCACCTAACACAATGGGACCCCTGACTATAATCCCGTGGGAGAGGAAGGGGAAAAAGAGGGTTACAGCAAACTGCATCTGTAACTATAGTCCATGGCATGTACAGATGAGACGGAAATCTGTCCCCAGCATATATTCTGGCTTTACATGGGAGATGTGGATTTTACCCACATTGCAAAAACTAGAAACGTTGTGCTCAATTTGATTGGCAGATATGGCCCTGAGCCAATGAAAAATAATTAGATGTACTGAAATCCCATTGTTTTGTATTTATTGGACCGGATTTGTTTAGAGTTGGCTGAGGTTTTATTTGATCTCGTTTATATCTCATCATGCTGTTCCCCCAGCTCATAGAACTAAAAAGTAATGCATTGAAAAGTACTGAAAGAAATGACTACTAATAATGTGAATGAACTGAGTCTGGGGATAAGGGAAATGCCGGTCTTTAAAAGCCCAAGTTAGCTGGAGCAGGATGCAACACTGCAATTTATGCCAAGATTTCTCCTTGGGAAACGTGGCTATCGTGATCAGTGAAACATGCTTCACCTTTTTTAATTCCAGATACAAAGTCCAAACACCAAGATCTTTATTCAGTCCTTACCCAGGCAAACTCCCACTGAAAGCAATGCAAAGTTATTACAAACATCTGAGGATTAGACTAGAGCTCAGGAGTTGTCTGAATGATTTTTGACTGATGTTCAGCAATGTCATTCTAGTTGTAAGACAGACAGTCTGGGCCAGATTCTTAGCTGCTACAGGCAGGTGTAGCTTCATTGACCTCCCGGGTGATATTCCAATTTGCCCCGGCTGAGGATCTGGCCCTCTGTAGCTATCTTGGATGCAACACTGTATTGAATCACTCAATATTAGTGTCCTTTTGTCAGATAATTGTATTGTTTTTTCTTTTCCTCAACAGGACAACATTTTTAAACTGGAGGATTCACATTTTGAAAATGGACGAGGGAAAAGCCCCTATGACCCCAAATTGCTGACGGCTTCTCTTTTAATAGGTACGTGTGGCAGTGTAAAATGAATGAGACCTACTTTCTCCATAGAGAAATACAAGTTTGCTACATTTTCCCTTTCACACTGTTTCTCAGTGGTTGTGGGTTTGTTGTTGTTGTTGTTGTTGTTTTTGGGGTGAGAGTTCTATATTAAAATAATTCCAGGTTGATTATTTGGCAGATGGTTTATCCAAGTGTTTTGAAAATAAGGTGACTATATAAAAATGCCTCAAATATCAGCTGTTTTGCTTTGTTTCCCCATTAAGAGCTTGAGGTGGCAAGTGTTGCACACTCTTAATTTCAGCTGAAGTCAGTGGGAACAAGGGATACTCAGGAATTTCCACATACAAACCCTAAGAACCTGATTCTACAGCTGACTGTCTATGGGTGCTAGGGTGCAGGTCTAGAATCTGGGGTTGTGGGGTCCCTGGAGTGCTGATTCTCATTCATCAGCACCAAGGGAGATGGGTGACGTAGTCTCTCACCAGGGCCGGCGCTTCCACTAGGTGACCCTAGGCGGTCGCCTAGGGCTGCAGGATTTAGGGGGCGGCATTTTGCCACCCTTGGCAGAAATTCGGCGGCGGGGGGTCCTTCCGCTCTGGATCTTCGGCGGCAATTCGGCGGCGGGTCCGTCACTCACTCCGGGACCCGCCGCCGAAGTGCCCTGAAGACGCGGAGCGGAAGGACCCCCACCACCGAAGACCACAGACTCCTCTGAATGCTCAGAGGAGGAGCGCTGCCACCTAGGGCGGCAAAAACCATGGCGCCGTTCCTGCCTCTCGCTAAACCTGGAAGGTCAAACCCCAGAGGACATTCTTTCGGAGCATCCAAGGCCTGCAGCCATCTGATTGGCTTACTTCTTCTACTTGAGCCATCAATGAGCCAGCTGGGCTGTCTGAACAACTGTGCCGACCTTCTGCTGCCACATCAGACCCTGCTCTTGTTTGCCTCCTGCAATCCTGATCCAACTCTGTTCCTAGTTCCTGAGCTGCTCCTCACTCCTAGCTTCCACCTTGCTCCTGCTCTGTGCCTGATTCTTGCCTCTCTCTCTTGTTCCTACCATTTCACCTTGATCCTGACCATCGGCTACCAGTCCTGGCTCTGACCCTTGGTTCTGACTTCTGACTGACTCTGGCTCAACCCTTGGCTTGGCACTTGGTGTCTGAGCACAGCTCTGACTCTGGTTCAACCCTTGGCCTGAACCAGGCCATAAACCTCAGCTTCAATTATTGTTCCTGACTCTGGCTCAACCCTTGGCTCTGACACTTGGCAGTTGACTCCATCTCTGGCCCCTACTTCCATTCCCCGTCTTAACACCTGCTCTGCCCACTAGGACATACTGCCTATGTCCCAGTTCCTAACACACCCACAGAGCCTCACTGAGGTTACTGATGGCCCTATGAAGACACTGGGGTGAGGGTGGGGGTGTTTAAACACTTTCAGTTGCAGGATCAGGGTCGAAGGGCCTGAGTTTTAAAGGTGTTTAAGTGATTTCACTGATTTCAACTGGAGTTAGGTGCCTAAATACCTTTACAAAATCTGGCCTGAAGTTACTATTGCTTCACTGAGCCTGTTTAGATTTTCTGGCTGAGTTTTGCAAAGCAGGCTAGGAGATTTAAACACACATCCTTCATTGAATTAACTAGTATTAAATCAGGAGTCACTAAATTAATGGAAGATGTGTGTCAAAATCCCCTACACTGCACTGAAAATCTCAGCCTCCCTTTTTATTTTAATGTCTAATTTTTCCTTTTCCTTTTTCTTATCTTGTTCTTATAACAAAGCACAGGAGTGTTGTGTGAGAAGGAAATAAAAAGGCATTTTTCCCTTTTCCCCTTACCTGAGCAGTTAAAACTTCATGGGTTTTGCTACAGTGGCTTTGTCCTTGATATATGACTTTGTGGGGTCAAGATCAGTAGTTAAAACTCAAGATCCAATGGTCTGCGTCAGCATCAAGGAGGCATCAATGGACTTTCAAAAGTTCACTGTTCTGTGTCCCCCCAAAACCCTCCAGAAGATAAAAACTAGTCCAGCGTGAGTTATATTCTCTATTACTTTTCAAACATTGGTAATTGTAGGTCTTTACCCAATAAACATTCATGCTCCATTTACACTGCATTTGCTCATAAAAGTCAGAAAGAATACTTAGTCCAGAGGTAGCCCTAATGATCACAGGTGATGAGCTGCCCTGGGGCCACACAGTTTTGTAAACAAGAAAGAAGCACATGCCTTGCTCCAACTTGCACCCTGTACTTACTCCAAATGAAAAGGAAAGAACCATGTGCCTAAAAGGCTGGTGTATAAATTAATGCCTGGAGCAACTTTAATTTGTGATGGAGCTGCTCCCCTGGGATTGACTTGACTATTTACTTTAATATTCAATAAAGAAAAGGGATGATGACAAGCCGGTATTACGTGATACACACGGTATGCAACCGCACAAAGTCAAGAGTCTAACCTTTCGCATTCCTTTTTTTTACCCGGTCCTGCACAAATATGATTATTTTATTTCCTTTGGCTTTGCTTTCAATGTTTTTAACAAATCTTTGCCTTTGTCAGGTTAGTCGCATTTTTGCTGCCTCAGTATTTTTTTCCTCTGTCTTAAATATATATTTCCCCACTATAGATCATTATCCTAAGCATCTTATTTGGTTTTGACTCAGGCTTCAAGTAGTGTGCTTACTTGTACTCTTGAAAATCAGGCAGATTGATTTTTTTTTCTTTTTTAAACCACAGGACAATTTTTGCCTCTCTAAGACTTCTTATTGGTTTCCTTATTGCCACACTGTGTTATGGACTACATTATAATGCTACATTTTACTAAAAAAGTTCCCTAAGTACTTTACGAAGTGGGGACCAGATTCACTCACTGGTTTCCAATGGCTTACTCTGCCAGTGGCCCTCCGGCAGAAAGTTGGTCTGGTGGGAAGCACAGCCCCCACTGTACCTATGTGGCCTTTGAAGCAGCAGATACAGCATTCCAAGTGGGTGGGTTTGACCCAGAAGGGGGTGGAGCCAGGCTCGCTGGGAGATGAGCTGATTGAGCCACAACTGCTTTCCCATAGTACAGTGGTCCCAAAACTTTTTCTGTCGCACTCCCCCTTACCCGTAATGGAACCTGTCCACGCCCCGCAGGAAACGCAGTCGGGAGCCGAGGCCGGGAGCAGAGCTGTGGTCAGGGCCAGGAGTCAAGGCCGGGAGTGGGGCAGCAGCCGGGGCCCGAGGCTGGGGCCAGATCTGCAGCTGTGGCTGGGGGCAGAGCAGGGCTGGGTGACACTCATTCCCCACCCCCCATGGGGGGCTGGTCCGGGCCCTGCCACACACACCTGCACATTCCTCTGGGCTCCCCTAGGGGAGTGCGCCTTGCAGTTTGGGGACCACTGCCATAGTAAAGCCCTTTGGAAGGAGACAGCTGTACTTTCTCCTGCCTTTTCCTATAAGTGAATATCTCCTTTGCTGCAGCTGCCTTCTTCAAGGCCAGGGATTGCAATTTGCACCCACACATACTCACAGGGTTTTTTCTGTGGATATTTAAAATGATCACTCAACCGTCACTAAAAGGCAGCCACCTCTGAGGTGTAACATAGCTTCTATACTACCAGCAACCCTAAACAGTGACTTTTTTAAAGAGTGAAGGCAAAGAATAAATTCTTGACTCAGAAACAAGGCAAATTTTAGGTGAGTAGAATGTGATTGCCCAAGTTGGAATTTCAGCAGGACACCAAGATTAATATGCAAAAAGTGCCCTATGATATTTAATAGCCATTAGTATTCAGGGTTTTCCATTTTTGTCTCATCTGAAAGAAACACTTATGTGCATAAAAAGGGTTTCCTGATAAAATTCAATCGTGCTTTAAAGAAACATTTCATCATTATTAAATTGTTCCGGTATATTTTCAAAATATGTTTCTCACTCCATCCACTTGCAAACATTATTCATTATTTTTTAATGTTCGTTAAAGGTATCTATTGCTACTCTGCTCTGAGTAGATGCCAGTTTTGAACATGCCCTCAAGAATCCAAGCCATTCTTTAGCCATCATTCCTTATCTATATGTTGCTAACTAAACAAGCGGCATGTGAGCATGTAAATACGTGAAAGTGTTCGGAGTATCTACTCCCAAGGCACTGCTTTCATCTATTACAGGACAGGAGGAAAAGGGAAAGGTAGGGTGTGTTTCAACTATGAAAGTCGCAAGAGCAGGTTAGACAAACACCTGTCAGGGATGGTCTAGATAATACTTAGTCCTGCCTTGAGTGCAGGGGACTGAACTAGATGACCTCTCTAAGTCCCTTCCAGTCCTACTATTCTACGATTCTAAAAGAAGATTGTTAACTAACGAATTAGTCTGAGACACTTAGGCTTTAGGGATTTTCAAAGAAGTGTCAAGGAGTTAGACAGTCCAGTTGCACTGACTATCAATAGTATTGGAATCATTAAGTTCCTCTGAAAATCCCATCTGGGATTTTCAAAAATCTCTTCATATTTGTCTTAACTGCTCCCATTGAAGTCAATGGACATTTTGCCATTGAATTCAGTGGGAACAGAGTCAAGCCATTGTTGAGCGTCCTAGTGTCATAGGGTGCCTCCGATGTTACCCGGTGTGCTGCACTGTCCAGCCTATTCCTGGTACCTAATAGTCATAAAGATGTCCAAGCTGTTTTCCTTTCACCACTGGTATCTTTTATTTCTCCACATTTTTACACACAGAACATAACACAGACATCTTATAGCAGGTGTTTGCCACACAGCCTCCCTCATCAGCACTGAGCCCCACTTTACTTCCTGTTTCTTCTACTTGTATCCTCCCAATTACATCATTAGTCCAATAATTACCACCCAGGTGCTCATAATCCCCCAACAAAAACTATTTAATTGCTCACCGCTGAGCCTTCAGCCTTCTTCATGCTGCAGCAACATCAGTGATCAGGGTGCTGCTGCTAACACTCTGTCATACCCAGCCTTAATAGGGAGTCCTCTGTCCACTTGGTACCAGATTTCATTAGGGAATTCTTTCCAACCTGTTGCAGTAACCTGCCCATTCCAGCATTAGTTTTATCTTCATCCTTGGACAGCTAAAATTGATCATGACCTTAAAACAAGAATCTCAAACTTCACTAATGTCCAAGAACTAAGCAACTCTTTTATAGTTAAGAGCTGAAGACAAAAAAGTACAAAAGATACATGAACATTGCTTAATTTCAGGCATCTTGGTATCTAAAAAAATCTGGAAATTGTTCTTAAAGTTCAATGGATCAGGAAAAACTGTTCTGTTCAAAAGATTTACAATGAGAAACAGAGTGGTTGTGCACTGTAATGGTCACCTCTGTATTTGGAAAGTTAATATACAATATATCTGTTTGTGTATGTGTGTCAACACCAGTCCTTTTGGCCAAAGAGATTTGTTTTCACAACACCTAGCTCCTTACACAGCTCTCTGCATGCTGATGAAAGAAAATGACGTATTTGCTCGGTATAGGGAGCGGTATCCATTTCTTTATGCTGTCTGGACATAAATGAAAACTGACAATTTGGGTTTTTTCAGCTTCAGAAATTATTGTAAATTTTTTGAACTCCAATATTTTTTAAAGCTGCTAGTGAAAATACTATCAATTTAGGCATTAATCGGAGGTCAGAGGGCTTAGCAATGGCATGAGAAACGCTTTTAAATTTATAGTAACCATGGGTCATTTGCACGAGGTTCCAAAGTGAAGGGCTGCATAAACACCCAATGCTTATACATAGAGAAGGGGCAAAATTTTGATCTAGATTTCAAACTCAAGTTCTGGGAAATCATTTTGGGTTATCCTGAATCCGAAAAATTGCACACAAAGAGGCTCACCCCTCTTGTGAGATTCTTGGTACTTCTTGCTCCTGGTTGAACTGGAAATAGAGTAAGATCACCCCTTCCTGCCGTACTGTGCATCTAATCCTAACTGGAACAAGGAGACACAGAGATGTACAAAAAATTTAGAAATGATTTTTAAAACACAATGGGCTCAGTCGTGCAATTCTTACCCATGAAAGCCCAATCTCTCACCCTTACCCACGATAAGGGCCTCATCTAATTCCATTTACTTCAAAGGGCACTGGATTGAACCCTGTCGGAACTCTTGCATATCTCAGTGAATCAGTTCAAGTTGTAGGCCAAGAGTCAAATAGTTCTTTTCTTGAAACATACTTACCCATCTCTACTTACAGGTAGCTGTAATAGAAAGAAATAACTTGCCTTTTGACCTCCAAAAGCTAAGTTCTAGCCCAGTTCAGAACTTGATGTAAAATGTATCCTTCAGCTTCTTGTTGGTGAGATTCCCACCCCACCTATGACTGCTGGCAAAGACAATCTCCATCAGATCATATCAGACCACAATAATGTTAAATTGTCATGTGATGAGCTGGCACAAACCAGGAAGCCATGTTGCATTCCTGAGGTGACTGCACCTCAAAAGTTTTACAGTTCTTCATGTGTTGAATGAGATCCTCAAGTGCCAAGGGACCCAAAAATGCAAAATATTACAAAAATCTTAATAAGTTGTTGAACTATTTGCTTAATTGTAATAGTCTATTATTAAATTTGGAATCCTTTTTTTCCTTGAGTGACTTTCCCATCTGTTGACAACTCAGAAATAAAAAACTGGTTTTGTTGATTTATATTGATTTATCCTGACTTGCTTGGGAGTGGATGAAAAGAAAATGAGGATAAGGTTAAGGAAAGGTTAAGAGGAGCATCAAAGTCATTTTTCACAAGCCAAAAGGGTTGTTGTTCTTTAAAATCTCAGCTGCATATGCTGTACATAATAAGGACTATAATTAAGTGATTGTCTCCTGTTTGAAAAAAAAAGTAGAAAATGAAACAGAAGAATGAGAAATTGTTAATTAATGATATGCTGTTCTGTTTCACTTCTGATTACACCTCCTGCTGGGCACGACTGGTCTATTTGCTTATAATCTCTGCTGTGAATTCATTCAATTCCATGCCTTTCTACTATCATGTTTTCACCCTTCCTGACTTTCATGAATACCATATGGTACACAGTCATTGTAGCGTCAATTGATAATTTTATGCTGTCAGTGTTTCAGGGGAAAGACGCTAATGTTATCCAACAGGCATGTTTGGACATGGCTGTCCCACCATGGAAATATCTAAAATTGGCATGAGAATCATACGCTTGTTGCCAAAAGGGTGTTTGAAAATCAGACTATGGTGGGATTCAGCCTGACCAGAAAAATCGATCACTTGAGCTTTAAAAAACTGTTGCTTCATCCTCAGATTTATCCTTCTGTCTAATGACACTTTTAAGATGGGCAGTTAAAATATTGGTTGAGAGAAATGACATACTTTTATTTAATTTCCAAGGGAAACTCTGGACTGGATCTGCTTATATATGCACTATAAGGGCCCAATCCTGCAAAGTGTACTCTCAGCTTTCTAAATCCAGAGTAAATCCATGGAATACCTCTGCATTTACTTCTAACAAAACTGGCACCGTCATTTGGCTGTATATCTGGCACCTTGAAACTGCTTGTGGATAAAATTCTAATTGTGTATCTAATTCTTTTTCTTGGAATTCATCTCTTCACCAAGTGGTCTAGGACTACTGTGAACAGTGGCACAATGCAAGGATCTATTGTGAGATTTGAGCTTCGCCTTTTGAATTGGGACCACATCATTCTTTGTCCCTGGTAACCCTTCTGGTTGGATCAGCAGTGGCATTTCTGGGTCTATGTTATTATGTGAGTTTGATTTCAGACTTGACCACCTGTGTACTGCGTATGGGCTGGATGCCACAGAAAGGTTTATCCTCCTTCCCTACTACCTATGCTGAGAGAAATGTGTGCCACTGAGTGACAGTCTTGCAAGCAGAAAGTTCACAGAAAGGAAAAAAAAATGTTCTATTTCCCAAGCAGGGGAGGATGCTCATGAAAGTGCTTCCAAAGAATTCATCATTAAAATCCGATATGAGAAAGCAGTTCACATGTAAACAATTCAAGGAAAGAATTCAGCAACGTTCTGAACTGGGAACCAATGGGCCTGATTCTCCATAGCTTGACACCTTGTGTAACCATTTGCAGCGGTGCAAAGTGAGGTGTAAATCACTGCCATACTTACTTGAGAATCGGGGTCTAATATCTTCAAGTGGCTGCTTTAGCAGGTACCGAAAAGACAACCACAGACACGTATCAGAAAGATGTCACGATTAACACTAGGATATAACACCTGGAACTATATGCAGACATCTTCAACAGGAGGAATAAAGTTTCGCTATGATATCATTGATGTGGCTTGGTCCCTATATTCCATCAATATAACATAAAAGCAAGGTTGCCAACTCTTGCTATTTTATCACAAGTATTGCAATATTTGGTACTTTTCTTAAATGTCCCAGCTCCTAGAGGCAAGTGATTATGTGAAAAACTCAGCTTTAATTAAAAAAAAAAAACTACTAAATTTCTAGCCCTCATGGTTGCAGAGAAAATCCTGAAAATGCAACCCCAGTGCATCCTAAAGGCTCAGAAACCAGAGGGCAAATAAAGAGTACCACCACCAATTACATTTTAAAACCTCACAACTTTTAAGCCAGTCTCCTGATTTTTGGAGCCTACTCATGATCACTGAATGATTTGGGAATAGTGTAACAGGTAGCAATATGTGTTCACATCTCGACAGAATGTTTACAGTTATCTCATATCATTCCACAGATGGAGAATTGTACTCTGGGACAGCAGCAGACTTCATGGGTAGAGATTTTGCCATTTTCCGAACTCTGGGGCACCATCATCCGATCAGGACAGAGCAGCATGATTCCCGTTGGCTGAATGGTATGAGAGACGTACATTTTTTCCAGTGTTATATTCATGTAGCTCTTAAAGTCCAGCATACCGCAAACAGTTCCTTTCCAGTAACACCCATGACATGTTTACCTCTCCTTGATATGGAGCAGAATTTTGTCTTAAACCAGTTAAACTAATCAAGAGTGATTTATAAAGGAGCGCTTTTTGGTTTTTAATTATATTGAGATTTGTGGAGTGTGATTAAATTTAAACCATATCCAGAGGCAGCAGCTAAAGCAGTATCATGTAGCAGGAGCAGACTGCTGTACATATATGTTAAACAGGACTTCTAGGCCTGAGTAAGTACCAGCAGGGACGTCCGAGCACAAATGCTAGAGAGAATGTTGACTGGAGTTGCACCCTCTACAGGCCAGTTCATAATGCAACCGGGTCATCTCTGAGGTGCAGTTCTGACATTGGCCCTCCAGACTCCCCAGGAGGAGAAAGAGGAGAAGGAAAATTAGATAACAGGAGCCCTCAAACATGCCATAGCTCCCAATATGTTGGAGTGTCAAAGGAGCCCTGGGTGCCCTAGAGCTTGCCTCCATCACTGGAATCTTTGCTATTTTCACAGGGGAGAGTAACGTCAATTACAATGTGCAGTTAACCAGTTAGACTCAGAAGTGCTCATTTGCCAGTGCAAAAACCACAACTACAGGTGTTATCAAAGAATTTGCACATGCAAATAAAGGCCTGATCCAATTCCAAGTGAAGTCAGTTTCTACTAACTCCAATGGGATTTGGATAGGTGCACAAATGTATGTTTATTTTTGTCTATTAACATATTCATGCATTCACAGATTTAAAAAGCTAACTGGTTCCAATAGCTTGTTTAAAGTAATTGAAGACACTCTAGACAACCTCATATTGATATTTAAAAGACTTAGGGCTAAATTTTGTAAAGGGCCGACAGCCTCTCTTTCTGTAGATATAATTTGTATTTGCATTCCTATTTCTGAACCCCAAAAATGTGTTCAAATGTTTGCACCTACCGTGAGGGTCAGGTAACCATATTTGAATCCACAATTCAGTGCAGGTGCAAAAATACAGATGCAAATTTTTCAAGTGCAAAAGGGAAGGTATCTTTTGAAACATGACCTTTAATGGTCAAGCATATTAGCTATTGCCAAGATTTCCTGGTATCACGTTAGTATTATTTTGTTTAAACTGCAAGATCTCTTGGGAAGGGATTTACTTTTTATTAGATGCATGGATGGTGCCTAACACAATGGATCCCTAATTGAGATCTCGAGATGTTAATGTAATACAGATAACATGTATATAATAATAATGATAAACACATTGGATCTGATTCTGCTCCCATTGAAATCAATGGCAAACCTCCCATGGGCGACAGAGAGAACAGGTTTGCATCAACTGGGTATTGCTTTTGCAGGCAGTTGTCGCCTGATAGTCCAGAAATATTGCTCATTGATTTCTTGTTGTTCTGATGATAGACAGGGTATCTGGACTTCAGGGAACATTGAAGTGGAAGTGAGAGTTTGTCACTGATCTGTATAGATAGATTCTGCCAGGAGAGTATCTTGCTGTGGGGTAGATTAATACTAAGAATAGCACAGGACCCATGTTCATTGTGATGGCCTTGGTGAAATAAAGCCCAGTCATGCAAGTAAAAGCTGCTTTTGTGCAGTAGATTCACACAATGACAGCTAAGTCAGGAGGATTTATGCAGTGGGAAAGCACAGCCATTGTCCGCATCCCCTGCACTTCATCTCTGAAAATGTGTCATTCCTTTGTGGATTCAGTTATCAGTCTCTCCGTGCTGAATGTGAAAACTGCTTTTCCCAAATTAGCACTGAGTTAACATCTGAGAGGGTGCGGAAACCAGAACTGCTTCGTTCTGAAGATGGAGAGAAGTATAAGAGTGCACACAAAGAGCTTGCAAACCCTGACCCCCTCAAATGAAATATTCTTGAACTAACACAAAACTGGAGACAATTTCAACCTTGTAGAGAATATACATGAGTTTGGGATGTAATTGCAGTCCTTAAACTGCATTCCTGCATGGCAAAGTCCTGTTGAATTTACTAAAGTGAGAAATTGTTCTCAAAAACCTATATAAGGGATTAGAGATTGATCCTGTGTGATTTACTAGAGTTAGATCCCGGCGAAAGGTTGGTTTGAGAATTCTATTAGAGAATTATTACTCCCTATTAAAGGCTATAGGACTTTTTCCAGTACATTCTCATTAATGAAATCCTGTTTGCACTTCTCGGGAATTCTCTGTGACCAATAGAGAAGTCCAAAAATAATCATCTGGGGCTGAAACTATACAGACATACAGCTCCTTTGTTTCTTCTTTTTTCTATTTGCCTTTTTTATGTGTAATTACAAAATAAATTTCCGGGTTTCAGATTTTTTTTTAAAAGAATACATTTCTAATGAAATATGCCAGCGCTGAAGGCTGAGATGTGCTCTATATACACAGCGCTCTGTATACACTAGAAGTGAAAGCTTTCCCGTTCCTTCCCATCACCCTCTGCAGAGACTTCCAATAAGGGAATATCAGCCAAGTACCAGTTTCTTATGTTGTGCGCAGCTCTATTGGAGTTATCCCAAGACCACTAAAAAGATATGTTCAGTGATAATGGTTTTGTCATTACACACATGGCCCTGATTCTAACTGCTAAACTACAACTGAAAGGCTCCCTATCTGTTGGGCCAACCAGTCACTTGCAGTGGTTTGGGAACATCTGAAATTAGTGACAGAAAGGTGGTATTTTGAGCATGCATAGGTTAGAGGGTGCAATTCGGGCTCCATCTCCTATGTCCTGCTTCCTCAGTACAAAGGGGACGGAGGGATGTCCTAGCTGTGGATTTCCCTCATAAGTGCCAACTCCATGGGTGCTTCAGGGCTGGAGCACGGATGGAAAAAAATTAGTAGGTGCTTAGCACCCCCTGGCAGCCAGCTCTCCCCGTTCCCTCCCCCCCCCCCAGCGCCTCTCACCCGCCGGCAGCCCCGCCCCCCCAGCGCCTCCCACCCGCCGGCAGCCCCACCACTCAACTCCTCCCTCTCCCTTCCAGCGCCACCCACCCGCTGTGATCAGCTGTTCCGCGGTGGGCAGGAGGCGCTAGTGGGGAGGAGCAGGGACGGGGCACACTTGGGGGAGGGAGCAGAACTGGGAGGGAAGAAGCAGGGTGGGGGTTGGGGTTTGGGGGAAGGGGTGGAGTGGGGGCAGGGCCTGGGGCTGAGTGGGGGTTGAGCACTGCCGGGCAAAGGAGAAAGCCAGCGCCTGCGATTTCCCTGATGTAGTGGGAATTCTTGGGGGATCTAAAGACAGCATATGCAGTTCTATACCACCCACTCCCATCCCCTGGCGTAGGGGAATTCCGGATGGGTTGAAGGCATGGATGGAAGTGGAGGCGAGGAGCGGGAGAGAGAGGAGGGGGGAAGTTGCAGTGCAGTGTGCTGAAGCAAATGCTAAGCAACACAGAAATGCAGTAAAGCCTCTGTTTGGGCGGAGGATTAGGGGAGTGGAAAGATGGCTTAGAGCCAATTTTCCCCGCACCCTCCCTGGTTCTGACCTGAGCACAGGGGCTCCAGCCTGACATCTTTAAAGTTAAAAAAATCAGATTTGAAAAATGAATAGTCCATAAATGTTTATTTTAAGAGAAAATATTCAGAGTTGGGCTTCAGACAGTTTGAAAGGAAATTAAACCACAAAAGGGACATTAAAGGAGCATTATGCATCTGTTTTTCACCCACAAAAGCAAGGCAATGCAAGCCCGAAACACCCTCCTGCTAACAGTTTGAGTTAATGTCAGACTGGATTTCCAGTCTTAACTTGGAATTTCCTTGCTTTCTGTGGGTTTAAACCAGCCCCATGATGTGATTTTAGAATCCTTTCTGTGGTTTAATATTTAAAGTGGGATAGTAGTTGTGCATAGTCCCCTGGAGACATTGTCCTTGATAATCTTTACTTTACGGTTACATAAACAGCTGAGTATTATAGAAGCTGAGCGAGGGTTCAATAAAAAAGAAAATGCCCTCTTAAATTTCACAGGCTCTGAGACAGGAAACATGGACTTGATCCTCTTATGACATTTGTGCAGTGCTTTATAGCCATCATTGTACACAGTTTCCCTTTATGACAGATTACAAGATGCCTCAGTGCTGGCGATGTGCAAATATCTTTGCATATTAGCATATCTCACTGTGTAGTGTGGTGTATGGAATCAGGAAGACAAGATTCTAAATATCTTCAGGTATTTTCTTTTCTATAAAGGTCATATGAAATGTGTGAAGACATTTAGAAGTGAACTATTGTTCCTTTCCAACTTCCGCTGAGGCTTGAATGTGCTGATTTTCTACTGTATTTGACTCTATGAGTCTTCTTTGGTTAGCCACACTAATTCCTCTCTCTCTCCACATATGCAGCATTTCTCCATACCACTCCCACTTCTGCATACCTCCCTTACCCTGAATGTTCTTAAATACCTTCCCTACCTCCCACTTTCACACAAACCTCCCACATGGCAACAAATGGTGCAGCTGAATTGGTGCAAAACATGGGCAGCATTATTTCACAAACCAGGGTTGAGTACTACTTGGGACAAGTGTGATATATGTATTAATCTAGATAGAACTGGGCTTGGAAGGATTAGACATCTATTGGTAAATGTCAGTGAACACTGATTTCACCATACACAAGCAAGCCAATGAAAAAAATATTTGCATCAATAATAAGCAAAACTTACAGATAAGCAAAGTACGAAAAATGCTAGTTGAGAATTTGTTATAGTTTAATTTAAGGATCTTTACTTTGTACATTTTGACATGTGATGCTGACAATTTGAGTTTTAATAGTTATAAAGCTTTTACTTTTTGAATAACCATCAATTGTCATTAAATAATTATTGTCTGAGCCCCCTTGTGATCTGACACTCCATCATCTGGGAAATTTGAATTGATAAAAATCTAAAAAAAAATGCATACAAATATTGATATTATCTGTCAAAATCAAATT